TAAGTTAAAATAAAAATACTATTATTTTGCATATCACAGTAAAATATAATGAATGATATCAAAATTAATCTCTCTGACCTTAAAATTTCACACACTTCAAAAAACTCAAATGTATAGTCTTGTTGGTTTTTCTTATATTGCTAATTATAAATACTAGAGATAAATACTAAAAAGCTTCTTTTTCTTAAAAACCCCTAGACCTTAAGCTAGTCTCAGTATGATCGGCATCACTTTCACAACCATTTTAGATGAGGACAACAGATGACCAAACTCAAACTTTGACTTTATGAAGCGGGATATTAAATAACATATTTACCTTAAAGAGGCAAAAACGGCGAGGATTAAACTTATCTTTTCCTTTTCTGTCTTCTAAAGATAGAAAAGTAATTAACTGTTCAACAAATTTAGGATCAGAAAAATGATCAAATATAATCTGTTCAGCCTATAAAGTTAAAAAAAAAACACAACATTCAGGGTTTAAGATCTATTTAAAAACGTGATTCTGAAATGTCAAAATTCAACTGTGAGGTTTTGATTATCAATAGTAGGCTGTTATTTTTGTTTTAAAGAGTTTTTACTTCTCATAGAGGCTTTAGAAAACCAAAATATCTCCTAAAAATGCTAAATCCATAATAGTTGAAAGTTTTCCTTCAGATCTTCAAGTTTGAATTCCATTTCTCAAACTGAATTAAAACCTACAAATGGTCTGCTTGAAGATGGTACATGAAGATAGTACCATTGTGCCATCTGGTATATAACTGAGGAAAATATTCAAAACTGTAAACCCCAACAAATTATTTCTGTATTTATAAAACATCAGAAGTTAAAAGGTAAACTTCGTTGAATTAGAAAATAAGAGTTAGGGGTGCCTGGCTGGCTCGGTAAGTAGAGCATGTGACTTTGATCTCAGGGTCATGAGTTCAAGGTTCACGTATAACACAGAGCTCACTTAAAAATTAATACATAAATAAATAAAATAAAAAGCTATGTCATTAACTTAATTGAGAAAGACACTAAAAGTCCTTAACTTTCAAAATGGTAAAGAAATATACTTTATTGAAAACTAAGGAATTTCGACTTAAATCTACAAACATCTATTTACTGAGTACTCATGATTTATATGTAATAAAAAAATAAAAGCAAACAGCAGCAGCAAACAAACAAAACCCAATCTCTGCCCTCAAGAAGCTTGTTAGCACACAGAACGCATACAAGAAACATGCAGATAACTGTATAAAGCAGTACCCAGGTAAAGTGGGGTAGTAACATGAGTAACCTTAAATACAAAGACTTGTGCCAACTGGACCTAACAGAATTCGGGGGGCGGGGGAGACAAAAGGGGTGGAGTAAGGGACTCACACATTTACCAGTATTTACTCAGTGCTATCCTGAAATACACTAACTGGGGAAAAAAACCCATGAACTCAGTTTGAAATAAATCAGAGGCCAAAAGTAAAATGCACGAGAACCAGGGTTAAGTGTTTACACATAGTGAAAATGGAATGCTTACCTCTGTCAAATCCTCCCTGCTTCTGCCAAGCTTAGGCTGCTCTTCCACACCAGCATAAACAACCATATTCCTACAAAGAGTTTATATTTGTAATATATATAGAAAAAAACAAGAGAGCTTTATGGAGAGAAAGCATTAGAAGGCACTTTTAATGAACTCTAATCAGACGCTAAGTTTGGGGATATGAGTACATCACTAACAATCTTGGCCTTAAAAATCTATCAGGTCACTGTGTCCTAATGACATAAGTCACTGGAGTCAACAATAAGAGACAAGTAAGTATTTCTCTGGGCTGGTTTAGGCATATGCAGTACCGATAGGTAAGCATATAATTTAGAGCAGCTATTCATAAACTCCTTAGAGGTATACTGGTGGAAATAAGAAGTCTGAGAGTTTCAGTGGAATTACAAAGAATGAGGCAGGACTGAGGCATAGCACTGGCAGGAGCCAAAGAAAGAGAGGAAAAAGGAAGAAAAAAACGAGAGATTGTGTTTTTAGTGGTAGAGTACCTCCACATCTGCTCCAAGTGCCTCCGAACCTCTCCACAAATCCAAAATGATAAAACATAATTACATCAAAGATAAGCTGTTTAATAAGAATGTGCACGGCAAATCGCAACTTACTGAGGCCAGCTGTAGTATCCCCAGTGAGTTTTTTCCACAAAGCAGCTTGACTCCCATTCTTTTTTGGTTCTTGGTATACTTTTGCTATCATAATGCAACCAATGATTATCAGGCCTATCACCAGCAAGAATTTGGGTAGGTTTAGAATATCCACCTTAAGGAAAAGAGAATTACATATGACAAACTTAAAAATATCCATGCAATAATTGCTCTCAACTTTCAATCAATAGTACTGGTGTGACCTTGTCTTCATAACAAGATTATCAAAATTTGTTCAAGGCAAGACTACATATATATGATGCATTATCCACTAATGGGATAATTATTTGGGGCAAAAAAAAAAATCAAGTATAATCCATACTTCATTTCTTTCACCAAAATTTAAAGGATTAATTTTGTTAAAACTCTTCAGATTTTAATTAATTTCAGGCTTAAAGAGCTCAAAGAATTCCCATATATTCTTCACCCAGACGCCCCAAACTTTAACATTTTACCACGTGTACTTTGACGTTCTCTCTACATATGTATGTTTTTTTTTGGAACCATTAAATATTCATTTAATATGGGACCTACAAACATGTGTTTCATGAGGATAAAGCAGGATTGGGGCACCTGGGTGGCTCAGTTGGTTAAGTATCCGACTCTTGATTTGGCTCAGGTCATGATCTCCGGGTTGTGAGACTGAGCCCTGCATCCAGCTCTGCACCAGGTCTGGAGCCTCCTTAAGATTCTCTCTCTACCCCTACCCTACCCCTCTCTAAAAAAACAAACAAGATAGTATAGGGAGTATAATGAAAGTCCTTCCCACATTTTGTTAACACCATTTTATAGTGTTCCCAAATAAAGATGGTGTTGCACAGCTACACTCCCCTCCCAAATGTGGGGTAGGGGCGGACTGAAGATAGCTGTTTGAGTATCACAGAAATTACCGGAGATTAAAAATGTGGTAGCCAGAGGAATAAAAATGACATTCCCACCCCTCTCAAAATCAAGTTAGTTCATTATTTTTTCTGATCACCATTCTAATTAGATTACTATTCAGAAAATTTGTTAATACAGTAAGGTATAAAGAAGAAAATTAGCCTTGCCTCTAAACCTACACCCAGAGAGAAACACTTAACATACTGATGTATTAATGATAATGGTCTTTGGTAATTAATGTTAATTTTAAGTCTCTGAAACACACTTTGATAAATAACTAGCATAACTGCTTGGTTGGTGAGATAAGTAAGTAGATGACATGTTTGTGGAGAGTGTGCAAAAGGTACATATATTATGATGACAGAGTCCTTCTATTTTTTTTATTATATTTTTTAGCAATCTCTACTCCCATTGTGGGGTTCTAACTCACAACCCCAAGACCAAGAGTCGCATGCTCTTCCTACTGAGCCAGTCAGGTGCCCCAGGGTCCATCTAGTTGTATAAATACTTTTTATCACTAGTTTTCACTAAGTCAACAGTTTTTCCCTTACAATATTCATACTGTGTGCTGAGATCTTTCTATACCTCTATACTTTGTATAGAAAAATATTTGAGCTCAAGAACTATTAATTTATACATTTCAAAGTAACTTCCCAAGTGTGACTGAGAAGCATATTAATTACATTTAGTAGTACTTACTCATTTCATAGGGGTTGATGGTCAGCTTTTTGTGGGTTCTTTTGAGCTGCTTAAGAATACCAGCCACAGCTGAGATTGCCATCTAGAAAAGAAACAGGTAAAGTACACGTGTCAACATTTTTAAATTCTTGAATGGTTGGTTGCCTGCCTTGAACAAAGCAGCAGCTAGATTCCGCTTCTTTCAAAAGCAGGTAACTGCCTCACCTGTTGACATCCCGCAGCACAGCTACGGGAGTGCTAAATCTGACTTGGAACGAGTCACTTCAAGTTCTAACTTTCATCCAAGCTAGTCTGCCTAGAAAACTTCGATCCTTCCTTTGGTAAGCCAGTATCTGCTCATTCTTCAAATCTCAGCCTAGAATCTTAAAGGTCTTTCTCTAATGCAGCAGGCTAGGTCAGCCCCATCTCGCACTCCACCTCTAACACTTCGTGACTAAAACCAAAAAGTTGTATCCTCAGAGATCTTTCCCTTCCTACAACACTTCACACCTGTCATTAATTTTTCAAAGTCCGGATTTCCCATGAATCTATAAACTTGTTCCCTGCTGTAACCCCAGTGTTGAAATGTACAGTGCCTAAACGTGTCCTGATATATTGGCTGGATGAATTATTATTATCTCTGAACCAACAGTGATAAATTCCAAATCAATACACTTCAAGGCCTTTATTAAGTGTATCCTGCGAAGACTTTAAAGGCTTCAGGTGGGTAAAAATTCTCGAACTCAAGACTGTAGCTACAATAAAGTATCTACCTTTCGAACTACAATTGCATCATGGTTGAGATTCTCAACAAAAAAACGTATGGCACGAAGAGGTAACACTCGGTCATCTCTCAAAAGTAGAGACAGAAGCCCAATGCCTATATGTTCAAATTTCCAAGGCCTGAAAAGGGGAAGGGAAAAAAAAAAAATCACAAAACATATCACTCATAAAACCACTTTTAGAAGAAAACTGTATTTGAAACATTATGTTTCCTAAGAATTAATATAGGCTTACTGATAAGCACCACTCCTATCATGAGGCCCAAAGTTTACCTCTTATTCTTTTTCTAAATTTGTGAATCAGACTATAATTTTTTGAGACACAGCCATTCATGGCTTTCAGGATAGAAACCTCCTATAGTATTTAAGGTAAAAGCTTTGAGAATTAAAAAAAAAAAATTGCACTTACAGATTTCTCTGCTCCACACCATCTAATAAAGTGTTTACCAAATTTTCATAGTTCCTTAAAAAAACAAAACAAAAACAAAAACCAAACACTTTAGGTGAGGTATTGTTTTAATACAGTAGTAAGATGAACACCAAATAATCTAACAAATTCAAATTCTAGCCAAATTCACCCCCATCTATGTGTCATCACCAGACTATAAAAGGCCTGGTGAGAACCAAGCCAGTGTGAAAGCAGATGGGTGAAGAGAGACCGTGGGGAAAAGAACATGAAGGGCCGAGAGAAAAAAAAAAGGTATCAGGTACACTGAGCACCTCAACTGTCTCCAAGCAGATATTCAAAAGTAAATCTGTGAGTAGTAATCAATTAGTTAGAAGTGGTCTACCTCTATGGCACTCTAGGTATACAAGTGGTAGGGTATAATGTAACAGTTCATTACTTCTACAGACATGTTAGGAAAAAAATAATAAGCATATTCATAAGGCAAAGACAAAATCAAGCTAGGAAGGCTCCTGCTTGAGTGTTATCACTGAATTGCTTGGGTTCTGAAAACCTAAAACGAGTCTTTTTTTTTTTTTTTTTTAAGATTTTATTCATTTGAGAGAGACAGAGAGTTAGAGGGAGAGGGAAAGAGAGAGACAGACAGCACACACAAGCAGGGGTTAAGGGCAGAGGGAGAGGGAGAAGCAGACTCCCCGCTCAGCAGGGAGTCCGATGTGGGACTCGATCCCAGGACCCTAGGATCATGACCTGAGCTGAAGGCAGACGCTTAACCAACTGTGCCACCCAGGCGCCCCTAAAAGCCAGTTTTTTTAAGACAGTTTTAAGATGGTATATTCCACTTCTGTAGCTGAAAGTGACAATCTGGGACCTTCACAATAATGATCTCCTAACATTCTTTATTTTTTCAGAATCACAGTGTAAATCTCACGAGGTATATATGGCGCATCTATATCTCAGAGATATTAAAAATCTGCTACCCATAACGCTATCTATCTTGAGAAGTAGGCATTCATAATTACCTTAGGGCATCAGCATTCTTTTCTTGTTGGCGTTTAAGTCCTTCTTTAATTTCTTCTGAACTAAGCATTGTCTGGTTGGAGGAGGGGTTTTTTGATTGTTGAAGTAATTCTGCTATTTCAACACAGGACTTTGGAATCTTATAAAAAAGAAAAGCGAGGGCACAAAATGAAGTACTGACACCCGCCAGAATGCGGAGGAATCTTGACAACGTTATGCTGAGTGAGAGGAGCCAGATACAAAGACCACGTGATTCCATTGATATGAAATGTCCGTAATAGGCAAATTCACAGATAAGGCAAGTAGATTCCTGATCTCCAGGGTCTAGGGATGCTGGGGGAATGGGAGTCACTATTTCTGGGTACAGGCTTTCTTTTTAAGCGAAGCCTGCAGAGCCCAGGGAATATACTATTGTGAATACACAATATACTATTGTGTTATATAAGGGTGAGATTTTTGTCATGTGAATTATGTACTAATTTAAAAAAACTTTAATTAAAAAAAAATTTTTTTTTTTTAATTTTTTAAGTAATCTCTACACCCAACATGGGGCTCAAACTCACAACCTCAGATCAAGAGTCACATGTTCTTCCAACTAAGTCAGCCATGCTCCCCCCTAAAAAACCTTAAAAAAAAAAACATTTTATTCATTTATTTGAGAGAGCGAGCAAGAGAGAGAGAGAACATGAGCAGGGGTGGGGGGGGCAGTGCAGAGAGAGAGGGAGAAGCAGACTCCCCACGCAAGCGTGGAGCTCGATCCTAGGACCATAACCTGAGCCGAAGGCACTTAACTGACTGTACCACCCAGGCGCCCTCCAAAAACCTTTTTTTAAAGAAAGCATAATCCAAGGCGCCTGGCTGGCTCAATCAGAAGAGCATGCGACTCTTGATCTTGCTTGGGATTGTGAGTTCGAGCCCCACGTTGGATGTAGAGATTACTTAAAAATAAAAATCTTAAAAAAAAGCATAATCTAATGACAGTTGCAAATAGCAAGACTGTTTTATAGAAAAGGAATAGGTTTAGAGCAGTGGTTTTTTAAAACCAAGGATGGGTGTCAAACACAATTACCTTGGAGAAGAGGGCAATTCACTGGCACTCACACCACTTTCATCCATCCTCAGTTATGATGGATATGTACATATGCATTTGCTACATCTCCCCATACAAGCACCACTGATACAGGTATTCTTTACTTTCTCATTTGTCAAATCATCCAATTTTAATTTTCGTCACTATAAACTAAAATGAACCTTATGGTCAAATTTTGTGACTTTGGCTAGTAAGAGTGACCTCCTAAAATATAATCAACTCTTCAAAAAATGAGGCCATGGATATATAGACAATCATGGTAAATGCAACAGTGTAATAGCCCTTTGTTGCCTCTTGGTAGAAAACAACCCAGCTCTCTCCTGGCCATGCTCCAAATTCATAGTGATTACTAAAGTACAAACAGGGAACAGAAAGCTAATACTAATTTCCGCTAAAATCTGAGTTAAAAAAAAAATGGTTTTGCTCACTGCGAAATCCAAGCCAATTGTTTCATATTGTCGATGAATCTTTTCTGCAAGATCATCAAACAGTCTCACTATTGATGGCTTTTCCAGGGACATCGCTTTGCTAAGTCCGGAAGAAACAATTGCTGGCCAAGTCTGTACAATACAGTCCCAATCATGAAGGTTTGCCAAACATACACCACTGTGATTTCCAAGGAGACAATACAAGGCACCCTGCAGGAAAAAATAATATAGGGAATAAGAGGCACTGTTTAGCTGTATCCAATTCACTTACATCTTTTTAAATGTACTAAACACTGATTCTTTAAGTGCTTGATACTGGTTAGTAAAATAGGTTCACACATTTAACATGTTACTTTCAGAAACTTGAACTCGACATTTAACTGTCATCCAGTAATATTTTCCCTAAGTCATCTAATAAAGGGTTAGCTCAAAGAACACCTATGAATAAGATAATACAGAAATTTAAGGCTGTTGTTTTTAAGGATATAGCTTCCATTATAATTCTCTTCTACTACAATTATATCACAAAGGCCACAAACATTTGCCACTCTTTGCATTTTAGGGGCATGTTTGGGATAATTTCTAAAATCTGATTGTTTTCTTAAGTATATTAAAACTAGGTTACTTAACTATACTGTACACTTTTTACTCATAAAGGCTCTATTAATCAGAATGATACCCCATTTTAATGAAAAGAGCTATTATGTTATTTTCTAAATATTCACCCTAACTCAATTATGATCTGGCTTATTACCCACTGTGTGCTCTACTCCTCTTTACAGGTTCTCATAAGGTCACTGGTAACTTTGATTTTACTGACCTAATAGACACTTTTCAATTTTGGTCTTACTTGACCAGTTTGATTGTGTCCGTTTAAACTGCTCCCAACTTGTTCAACAATATACAACCCTAAGAGTCAGACATTCCACAACGCTCTTGAATTATGCATCTACATTGTAGGTCAGCAAATTTTTTCTATAAAGCTCAAATAGCAAATAGTTGGCCATATGGTCTCTGTTGCAACTACTTATCAATGCTCTTGTGGCACGAAAGCGGCCAGACAAAATACATAAAGTCATGGACGTGGCTGTGTTCCAACGCAACTTTACTTACTAAAGCAAGTAACTGAGCCCAAGTTATAGTTTGTTGACCTGTCTTACAAGCCAACTTCAAGAACATGTTGTCATCTTAACTATCTCCAGAAGGCAAATGAAAGCAAATGACACTGCTAAGTTTCCCTTCTCTCAGGGAAAGATCTCTCATTGGCTTCTGTAACATCTCGTATCTTGGTTATCTTTCTGATCTTTCCCTTCTTGGTTACTTCTTCTTCATGGGGTCCTAATGGAGTTTTCTCAACTCTTGCCCCCCTGGTCCTCTTTCTCTTCTCACTCTCCACCTATGCTCTCTTACCCGTGCCCAAAGCTTTCAGTTCTCATCAACACATACTGAAATGGTGTGTTGTGGTGAAATGATGTTGAACTACCTACTTGACACCCCCTTTTCGTTTATAGGAAATACTTCATATATAACTTGTCCAAACGAATTCATCATCTATTCTTCCTTTTCTCTCCCTCTCTGATGTACCCAATAACCAGTTGTACAACCCAGAACCTTAATAATTTTGATACCTTTTTTCAGTCCCTTCATATTCAACCACCAAATCTTATCAATTCTCCCTCTTAAATCACTTTCAATCAACCCACTTCTATCTGATAGCATAAGCATTATGTTTCACCTATACTCTCCTGCACCCCTGTGAGATACACTATTTTCCTTATCTTGTGTCATTTCCTTCCTTCTCTGATCTACTCATACAAACTCTCACTCAGTTGCTCAAACTTACCATATTTCTTCATGTCTCAGGCCTTCCAACATGCTGTTTACATTACTCTAAACCTTTTGGTCTTTCACCCCCCTCTCCTATAGGCCAGCTAGGCTCTTTATCCACTGCTGCTCAACTCAAACTGCAGCCTACATTTTCTCCCCATCATAACACCAATCATAAACACAGGTAAGAGTAAATAATTAGGGAGAAAAAAAGACTATGTTTAAAGGTGTAGGGTACTGATGTCTTCAATTTATTGTGAAATACATAAAAAATAAGATGGACATAGATAAATATATGCAAATGTATTTATCTATTTGTCCAAACATAGCAAAATATTAAATACAGAATCTGAATGGTGGACATATGGATGTTTATTGTAAAATTCTTTCAACTTTCTGTATATCTGAAAATTTTCATAATAAAAAAACACAAAGAACCCTATACCTTGAACTGCTGTTGTGTGACATCTTGTCTATCAGGCCGTAAGAACTCCAAAACCAGGGGAATGATATCTCTGCAACAGAAGTTATATGCGCCCAAGGCAGCAAAAAATGTTTGCTGAGCCTTATTTCTGACCTGAAGAAAGTATTATTAACAAAAGACTTCATTATATAGTAGGCAAACAACAAAAAGTTTCTAAATAAATTACCAAAAACAAAATTTAAATAGTGTTGTAACAGAAAAACATATCAAAGCACATACCTTAACAAAAACAAGTAAATTATTATCTTTTTACCAAAAGGAAAGCACATTACCACCAACCACATCCATGGTTTAGGTTATACAGGTTCAAATATTTTTGATAAAGGAGAGACTGAATAGAACTGATATGCATTTGTCCTATAACATAATCAGCAGACTATTTAACTTTCTATTCTAAGTTACTTTTGATGAGAAGAGTTAGATTTTCTCTTGTATTTATGCAAAGAAAATCAAAGACTTTCTAAAATCCCAGAACAACTTTACCTTTTCAATGCAAACCATAAATTAAGAGCCCGTATGTCTTAAACCCAAACAAAAGATTCAGTATAAGATTATAATCCATGAACTAAATCATAATGAGTAATAACCAATTATAGTAAAAGTGACACACTGTACATATTTCAAACTCTTTAGGTGAAATCTTTGAGTTAGAGACTAGTGTCCTAACTTACATTATTTATTAAGGATAGAATAATTAGCTATTCATGAATTTTGCTTTTCCAGTTCTCTGTGCTTGGAGATCATCTCTTGGTCCTTTGCTACCTTCAAGGATGGACCCCATAATTCATATGGTAGCAGGTTGCTGAAACCCAAGCATAACATCTAGGAGAAATTATATAGCCTTTAGAGACTGGCGTTCACAATGTGATTTGATTAAGTGGCAGCAACATTGCACTAGCACTATCTATCAACTTTACATTTAAAAAAAATTTGAGGGATGCCTGGGTGGCTCAGTCGGCTGACCATCTGCCTCAGCTCAGGTCGTGATCCCAGAGTCCTGGGATCGGGTCCCACATCGGGCTCACTGCTCAGCAGGGAATCTGCTTCTCCCTCTGTCTGCCGCTCCCCCTGCTGCTGCTCTCTCTCTCTGACAAATAAAATCTTAAAAAAAAATTTTTTTTGAGAAGCAATACAAACAGTAAAGTAAACATTATTTTTAAAAGACTACTAAAATTAGCTTGAAAATATTTGTGATTTGAAAGGTGCATTCTATGCCAATAGATAGTAATAATAATAATAATAATAATTTTAAGTAGGCTCCATCCAGGGCTTGAACTCACGACCCTGAGATCAAGACCTGACGTGAAATAAAGAGTTGGACGCTCAACTGAATGAGCCACCCAGGCACCCCACCAATAAATTATTTAAACTTCCTTGTATTTGAAATGGGGCTATTTAGATTGCATTGTAATAAAACAGGAACATGGGGCAAGGGAGGGGGGCAGAGGGGACGAGCCTTACCTGACTGTATGAACTTGTAGATAAACGAAGAAGATCTCGGATCATATCTTGATGTATCCTTTTGTATTCACAACCCTCAACAGTCAGTGTTCGTAGCTACGAAAAGAAAACAATGTAAAATCAAATCTCCAAGTTTTTACTAAAAAGTTCATTTAATTATGAAGTAACACAAATAATTACATATTCATCTGGAAAACTGTCATTTAAAAAAGTCATCATGATTTTAAAGAGATTTACCTCATGCTGCAACATAACTCTGTCAATCAACAGTGCTCTGATATGTTGTTTTTTCCCATGGAGCTAAAAAACAAAGAAGAAGACACTTCAACATTGTCCCTAATTGACTGCATCCATGGATTCCCCTGAATCCCCTACTGAAAAATTTTTACTGAACTGTAAAGGTTCACACTGGGCTGGTGGAGGTATTTCATTTATTCTGAAGTGATCAGGCTTACATTAAAAGATATTATTTCAATTAATTTTATGGCTAACAGTAGAAATATCTCCTTTAAATAGTTCATCCAACACCCTGTTTTTCTCTGGTAGTTTATTAATGGATCTATGCATGGGAGAGGAACTGAGCTGGTCCTTATTCAGTCAAATACTGAAAGTACAAAAAGAGACTACTAAGAAAATTGCTTGACTCTGTTGTATTTACAAATAGCCTTCCCAGGTAACTGTGTATGTTTACTATAGAATATAGTACCTTTTACTTTTCTAAAAATTATCTTTTATGGTCTCCTCTACCACCCCATCTTCTACCTGGTCACTAAAGGCAGATATCTGGAACTCAGAGACTGCTTCTCTTTCACACCTTTATCTCACTAGTCATCAAGTCTCTACAAATTCTTCTTTTTCAAAACACCTTATTCCATCCCAATGCCAGTGATTTGATTCAGGTTGTGTTTTTCCATCTGGACTACTGTGATAGTTGCTTCCAGTCGCAATCTCTTACTGCTGTTTTTTTCCTCATCGGTGATTAAAGATTGATCTTTCCAATATTCAGATCAGAACTACTTCAGAACCTTTAATGACTCTTTCCATGCTGAATATAAAACTGAAGCACTTTCTGGGGATAAAACTATAAACACCCTGGGGGTACCTGGCTGGATCAGTCGGAAGGGCATGTGACTCTTGATCTCGGGGTCACTGAGTTCCAGCCCCACACTGGGGGGGGGTAGAGATTACTTAAATAAATAAATAAACTTAAAAAAACAAAAACAAAACTCAAACTAAAAATGACCTAGTTGCCTCCTGCCTTTTCTGCCCTATAGCCACTGTTCCCTAACACATGCCATGTTTGTATGTCTCCCTGCCCTTTTACACGCCATTCCCTCTAAAATACGTAGTGACCCTTGCCTAAACAATAAACTCCTACAACCTTTTTTAAACTCAGCTTCCATAAAAGTCTCCTACAGAACACTGCTATCAACATCAAATGGCTGGCTTAAATATTCTTTCTTCCATGCTCCTGAGAAGCTTGTACTGACTTCTGGACACAAAGATAACATAAGAGCTATTTTTCTAAAATCTCCATAAAGTGAGATGCTTTAAATCCATGCCTGTGGACAATTCCTCCTATCTTTTATTCCCTCAAGTTCTTACAAGGCAGCCTGCCACATTATCACACTCCAAATTCCCAATGAGAGTTCACTCTCCTGGAAACTCACAGAAGAGTTTGTAAGAGGAAAACATTTCCCCAGGATTCTTTTGATTATACCGTGATATAATATTTGAAAATCTATTTTTACTTACAGGGAAACTTCCTCTGTATGCTGAACAATCCCTAAATCAAGTGACTGTCAATATTATACACATTTAAAAAAATTAATTTAGAGTTTTTAGGTGAAAATACCGACCCGGTTTTCCATTGATTTCTTTACTAGGTTAAAGCTTTTCCAACGGGAGTCAAATTCATGCTTGTGAGATCCCTGGAACTGCAAGAGGTCTCCAATAATCTGTGTCAAAGAATTTCAAATTTTGTATTTATTTATAAGCCATCATGTCAAAACTAGTCACATTAATAATCATGCAACTATTAAAGGATAACTGTACCTTTATGATAAGAAACAAAGACTTGGTATCATCTTCTGAATTGTTAAGTATGTGGTCTATAATAGAAGAAAATGGATTTTGGTTAAAATATTTTGAATGACTACAGGACTCCTGACATATCAGTTAAGAATCTATTAGTTAAGGAAAAAAACATTGCCTGATATTCTCACTATTTAGAATTTAAATAAAGTTAAGTAAAAGCACATATGCTATAAAATTCCTAAATATTTATTAGTAAAAATAAGTTAAATGCATATATGTACTTACTAAGAAGTTTCCTTATGACCCTAGCAATTGCTTCTCGGTGGTTCTCTCTGGATAGATCTATTTTTTAAAAAATGAGACAAGGCATTTTAAACACACTGAATCCTCCCCAGCTGTTGAAGCTTACTTATATAAACAGTTTATGTCAAGAATCAATCATGTAATCCAGGAAAAAAACCAAGTGGGTCTGCCTTTTTCATAGCTAGATTAGTGTCTAGGCATGATACAGAGTAATTTTTAAAACCTTCACATTTACAAAGACCTGCTTATAAAACTTTCTTGGGTAGGCAAGGAGGAAGGAGAAAAAAAATCTTTGCTAATATTTCAAAGTCCTATTCACTACTTAGAGATCATAAATGCATAGGATTCTTTAATTGGTTATGGGTGACCCAAATCAAGCAAACAAAAATTACACCTTAAAGCAATTAATCTATGCAATTAATTCCACTGTTAATCCAACGATAAGGAAATGTACTAAATTTCTATTAATGTTAGATTCAGAATATTAAATCAACACAATGTTTTACATATTTATATGAAATTTAATTCACTATGACAGAAGGACACAAAGCTAGAATAAAGGTTATAATATTCCCATATTCACATCAAGTATAATGTATCATTTCTAAAATAATTCTAAACATAAATGAACATGATGATATATGAAAATCTGCCTCTGCACAGAGAAAGCAACCAAATATTTATTTACCTAGTCCAATTTCTACCTTTTCTTGGCTATTCTTTATATAAATAATTTTCCAGTTTCTCCAGGGAAAGCAAAGACAGCGATTGTATAATTAACTAATACTCATTTTATTTATGAGAAAGAGACTAGGAAAATTCTAACTACATATTATTCCATTTAAATTCAATTAATTAACATATACTGCATTATTAGTTTCAGAGGCAGAGTTCAGTGATTCATCAGGTGCATATAACACCCAGTGCTCATTACATCATGTGCCCTCCTTAATGCCCATCACCTAGTTACTCCATCCCCCCACCCCCCACCTCCCACCAGCAGCCCTGTTTGTTTCCTATAGTTAAGAGTCTCTTATGGTTTGTCTCCCTTTCTGATGTTTTATTTTATTTTTCCCTCCCTTCCCCATGATCCTCTGCTTTGTTTCTTAAATTCCACATATGAGTGAAATCATGGAATTCCTCTCTCGAGTCATTTCGCTTAGCATAATACCTTCTAGTTCCATCCACGTTGTTGCAAATGCAAGATTTCATTTTTTTTGTGGTTGAGTAATACACACACACACACACACACACACACACCACACATCTTCCTTTTCCATTCATCTGTCGACAGACATCTGCGCTCTTTCCATAGTTTGGCTATTGTGGACACTGCTGCTATGAACATTGGGGTGCTGGTGCCCCTTCGGATCCCTACATTTGTATCTTTGGAGTAAATACCTAGTAGTACAATTGCTGGGTTGTAGGACAGCTCTATTTTTAACTTTCTGAGGAACCTCCATACTGTTTTCCAAAGTGGCTGTATTAACTCTTTTTTTAATTCCTTATTTTAAATTCAATTTAGTTAACGTATACTATTAGTTACCAGGGTAGAATTTAGTGATTCATCAGTTGCATATAACATCCAGTGCTCATTATATCAAATGCCATCCTTAATGCCCATCACCCAATTACCCCTTCCCCCCACCCCCCACCCCTCCAACAACCCTCAGTTTGTTTCCTGGAGTTCTGTATCTCTCATGATTTGCCTCCCTCTCTATTTTCATCTTATTTTATTTTTCCTTCCCTTCCCCTATGTTCATGTTTTGTTCCTTAAATTCCACATATGAGTTAAATCATATGGTATCTGTCTTTCTCTGACCATTTTAACTCTTGTAGAGTAACTGACAAAAACTGTCCACACAAGAGTTACTCAGATTAGAATTTACATACCATATTCAAGTCCAGTATACAATTTTGTCTCTTCCAATGACACCATACTTGGTACCCTGTATAAAAACAAGAGTGCTTGCATTTATTAATAATACCAATAAGAAGGATTAAAGGGAAAAGTGTCATTGCTAGAATGTTTAAATCAAAACAAAGATGATGCTCTTTTAATAAACAGATCTCTCATCTTCAATACGTCAACTCTCTACTCTGTCCTCCTGAAGATTAATGCTATCTGTTTCAGTAAGGACAATCTTATTCATCTTAAAGAAAATGTTAATTCAATTTAATGACTTTATGGGGGAGAATTCACCACCCAAATAAACGTAATAATGATATTCAATATTCAAGTGTAAAAGTTTAAGTCTGATGATAAACTTTTATATATAATTATACAAAGAAAAGTCAGCTTTATAATGGTATAATAAAGGTTAAAACTGGACACCAAAAATTCAAGTAAAATTTTATTATAGAATATATAGCAGACAAACTTCTTTAAATAATCATTACCCCTCCTCTGAAAAACCACCCAAACTGCTCTCTCCTAACACCTGCAGTTAAAATGCCATTATTTTCTTTTGAAGATGATCAGGTATAAAAACACTGCATTTCCTAATTAAAGATCTGCCACAAAGAATTATGTTAACAGAACAAGACCCAGCTAAACTCATTAAACAATTAAAAGTCACTTTTAAGGTATGTAAGAACAGATTTTAGTAGGGAATACGAACCTTTATATCTGAAATCTAAATTTTTTCAATGAAAAATATAATTTTCAACATTTCAAAATATAGTATCAATTCAACAACTTTTTATAAACAAAAAGATAAGACTTTCTAAGAGGAAGAACACAGGCACAAATGCCAAGGAAACATGGGGTAAGCTTATCCAATACAACGCTAATTAGTTATAAAAAGAAATTTTATAGTGATTGATTATTCATCACTCATGAACTACACAGCACTTGTTATGAAGAAAAAACTACTTTTAAATCAATATACCCCCATCTATATTGTATTTTTTTAAGTTGAATTAAGCAAGTTATCTCTATCTTAATACTTGGTAGTTATGAATTCTTGGATTTATCTAAATGGGTAATAATATTAAGATTACTAAACTGCCAATTATTTAACTATGTTCCTCACCATAATCTAGGACCTAGGATGGCAACGATACTGTCTCGTGTTTCAAACCAAGCCTACAGAGTATAAACAAAGAATGGTTATATTTTATAATATAAAATACTAATTTGCTTTTCAGAGACTTTGAAGTTCAAATTCAAATTCATAAAATTTGGTTTTCATTCTATAAAGCTTCAGCCTTTGGCAACATCTTGCAAACTTGCGCATTCTGTAAAATTGTGTATGATTAAATAATATATATGTATCCAGAATCTAGTCAGTTAAAAATAAAATCACATTCCTTTACAATGAACTTCAAGGAGTCCAACATCTCTACTGAAATTAGATTTTACCATCAAAGAGAAAAAGACTGTGCTCAAACAGTAATAAGCATAAAGGCATAAGACCTTTAACCCCACCCACTCATCTTTCCTTCCCTATTACAGCACAGGAAAAGGCTTGCCATGAGCTATTACATGAGAGTTGATGTCTCCTCGCTGCTGCTATAAACATCAGTAGTTGTGTAAAGTTAAGAATCCTACTGTACCTTACCCAGTCTGTACTTAGTACCAAATAATATTGAACCAAGCATGCATTTTAATTAGTCATAAAATTGTTCTTACAAACATAAAAAAGCAACCACTATAGTGAGCTATTTTGAATTTTTACTGTGTGTGTGTATACACACATAAAACCCTAACTATCAAACAAAAAAAACTATCCAGTTGGGAATTTGAAGTTTTGCTTGTATGCCTTTCTGACTCTAGTAATACCAGTATTATTAACTCTGTAATCACATTTAAAAGCAAGTCTCATCTAAGAGCCTTGATGCTTATTTTTAAAATTCATGTCTCTCTGAACTGTTTCCCTACCAGAAAATCTGAAGATTATTGCTGATTTACAAGTGTTTTAACGTATCTCAACCTATATGGGATTTTGAAGTATTAAAAAGTACATTTAAATAAACCCAGCTTAGGCTTTCCTTTTGAAACGTGAATTAAAACACATCTTTCATATCTCAAGTGTACAAAGGCATCTGGTTAGACATATAGTTCAGCTTTATTTGTTCTTATCCATCACAAAGTCCTTTTATGTTTATTTATCTAAGACTCAGTTTTAATAGATCCCTTCTTCTCTAACAAATTAATTAAACTCTGATTGGATTGACAGGTTTTACACTAAATGTTTCTCAGCAAGTGTAAATACATATTTATACTAAGTATTTCCTCTGGACTTTAGAAGAATACTTTTCTAAAAGAAATCTCTATCCATTATCCAAGTAAGATTTAGGACTGTATCTTTTTGTGGCCACACTAAGTATATGTGTGCTGCCCTATACCTTGATACTTAGAGACTGCTCTTGTCACTTTTAGTTATGTACAGAATCTTAACTGAACATATTTAAAGTGCCATCAACACTTACAGATGTGAGTTCTGATTTAAAGCTATAGTAGTAATATATAGAATTTAGATCAAATACCATCACTGCCCCACTACAAGTGAAATTCATTTTTCTCATTCACTGGTCCATTTTATAAACAGTAATAATTTGACCTCAGGAACTAAATAAAATTCTGACAATTCCTACACAACATATTTTAAATAATACCATTTATACAATAATAAAGTTAAATCAGCTTCAAAGCACTAGACAGCACCAGGGCACCTAATTTATAACAAAATGTGTTCAATATTTGTGCCACCAAAAAAAAAAAAAAAAAAAAGACCTAGAAGTGTGACAGCTATGTTATTTGTACCACTAGATGGCAATCTTCTCCAGATTTGATTAAAGCAGAACTATGAAAATAATCACTGGTGGGAGAGAGGATGGTGAAAAAGGAAGAAATGACTAGTAACATAAAAACAAAATGTACAATGCAAATCCAATATGCAAACGAAGGCTAGGTGAACTATCATGAAACAAGTGCAAACAATACTTCTTGTCTACAGCTGGAAGAATGGCCTACTCTCCCCCCACCCCAAGAAAGCAAACATAAAAGGTGTAAAACCAAGCCACTAATACTAACAGATTTTGTTTTCCAATCAAGGTTACAAGTGTTTCACAGGAAACAATTGGCCTATTTCTGTGTTCTGTTATCCAATTCAATCCTAGGCATCAATAATAGCTATAAACGCAAATGAAAAGCTGGCTCTTACTCTACCATGTGAACAAAAGGTTGCTAGGTTTAAAATTAACTCTGAGCATAAGAACTATTTCCATGTCTGACACACAAGCTTTTTAAAAATCAATGAAAACAGTCAGAAGGTGAAATAAGGAGAAAACAGGGTTACTCACCGTGGAGTAGTAACTGTTTCCTTTTCTGTGTGCAGCTCCCCCAGCAGAGCTGGGTAGTTTCCTGGAGGTGCCAAGAGAGGTTAGCTAGCCCTGCCCCTCATCGCAGAACAACACATCCTTTCACATATTAATGAAATGGTCTCAACTCTTAGACCTTAACTATGAAGTTTTCTTTGCCTGAGAAGTTAGTATAAGCTGAGATCCTAAGAATGATTTAACTAAGAATGGCTTTAACAGATCTATCAGAGGAAAGGGGCACAAAAGTAAAGAAGAAATATCGGAGATGAAAAATGGTGACTCCTCTACCTTGAGTAACCCTGTTTTTATAGATGTTAGTTTTTTGCATCCTGTGACAGCTGGTTAGACCTAAAAGATTATAAAGAGTGGACTGCAAAAGTAGAAATTAATGACGATTTCAGGATTAAAGGCAAGTGTCCAAAATTCCTGTATGACCCTGCAAAGACATAATCCAACTTCCACATCTATAAAGGTAGAACTAGGAGTATAAACTATACCACACATATTTCTATTAAATCATTAACTAAAGGTTCCAACAGCAAAATAGAGAGGTTCCATTTTAAGATTAATTCAGCAACCTTGGTATCTGACAAAACTGCCAAAAATTCAAACTGTACTAAAGAAATTTACACTTAATTACCCTCAAGGGACCCTATTTTACCCATCCTCTAAAACAGTAAAATTTATAATGTATACAACAAGATATTTAGTAATCCTACATTGCCAAAGGCCAAAAAAAGTACAATGAAGATACCATGAGGTACATCATTTACTTTCTACTTAGGACAATCAACTCACCTAAGTTTTTATATTTTGTCAGTCTCTAACACAAAGCACATAAAATTGGTTTGCACATTTAGTAGCCATTTACCTGAACAATGGGATTCTAAGACTAAGCCATATATTCTATTAGGAACTAAATTAGATTTTCTTACAGGAAAACTCAGAACTGAACCAAGTTTCCAGTTTCTCATTATTGCAATTTTCTAGAGGACAAATACTACTAATACATGTGCAAGGCAAACTTAAGACTGAAAGATCTGACCAAAAAAATTAAGCAGCTAGAATGTTTTTACCTAATTGAGATTTATATATAAGAAAAATATAAGACTAATTTTAAAGAAAACTGAGTTGCTATGTGCTTCCAAAAACTGGTCTGGTATTTCAGAAAATACGTAATGTCCCACAATACCACAGCCAAATTGTTTGTTATTAACAAGAGTGACTTCCTCAGGCACCTTAGGCATTATACTAACTAATGAACTTGTCACAATTATATGTTTCCTTTTCTCCCCCACCCGATATATTTTACTCTATTTCTCTATTAAGACCAGCTGCTAATAATCTCCAAGAATTATGCTACAGATATTCTTTCTTCACACTAGGATGTATGACTTATTATAGAACAATGGCACAAAATTGAAATTATTTGATTAGTTTTTCTTTTTATTTATTTAAGTAATCTCTATACCCATGTGGGGATCGAACTCAAGACCCCGAGGATCAAGAGTTGCACGCTCCTCTGACTGAGCCAGCCAGGCACCCGATTAGCTTTTTCAAATCAATTTACATTTAGAAATTTTAACATTATAGACCTATATTAGAATAAGCATTTCTGAGATTTAAAAAGCTAACTTTATTTTATGATACTTTAGTGAGAACTAATTTGCCATCTGCAAAAAAAAGTTGAGATGTTATATAAAGAAAATGTAAAAATAAGTTAAGATTTCAGATGAAGGAGCTATCAGTAAGAAATTGGTTTTAAAGGAAAGGATTCTGTTACAAATTATTTAAAAGTCCAGGAAAGACTTTATAAACCCCCTCTTTGGCGATTCAAAGGCAAAGGGGTGCTCATTAATCTTTGATTCTACTTTGTATAATCATTATCCCTGCTAACTACAGAAAAACAGTCCTAAAAATGTGTATGGTTCAATGATTAAAACAACTGAAGTTTTCATTCTGTATTTTATTTATTATGTATTACTAAATATACCAGAAAACATTTCATATTTCTACTTTTAAGTTATTAAAATATATGAACATTATATATTTAGAGTAAATGCAATTTTGTATTACTTCATTATGTCTTATTATATTAAATTTTCACTCCGAAAGTGAAAATTCTGAAACACAAAACTTTTCAGTCTAAATTACCTTTCCTTCTCAACTTTTCTGGGAAAAACCTACGAAGGATACTCTCAGGATCAATTTTAAGGCTTATAATGTCCATGGCATTCATAAAATGTTTATAACATGGTATTCTTTTCCTTACTGAAAATGCATTTCATTATTTACAAACCTAACTGGTTTTATCATAACCAAATATAAGGAACTTTTTTCTTGATGTGCTTTTATTTCAAAGTGATAAAGACCTTGCTTCAACTCACTAGTGTAGTGCACATGGCATAAATATGCTCATACTGATACGAACCGCAACAGAAACCTCTCAGCCTCCTGAGTGGACCCTTCAGCGGTGCATCCTAAGGATCACTCAAAACTAAAAATCTTCTAATCATATATACAGAAGATACATGCTTTGGCTCTTATTGGATTAAATTACCATATTTCTCAATGTCAACATGTTCAAGCAGAATTAAATTTATTGATGTAATAAATCTGTTATGTACAAAACAGGTTTCCAGCATGCCATAAGAGTTCAATTCTTACTATATTATACACTGTTAAGATCATGAGGAAAATCAAAACCATTTCTGTAAGTCTCTCACTTTTAAATAATGTTTAAAATCAATCTCTCTTAACAAAGATGACTTTTGGTAAAATTGTCCCTAAATCAAACTATAATACTGATGAAAACCAAAAGTACTTTTAAAGAACTCAGCAAATCCCTAGACAAACTTAAAACAGATTTCCTTACCTGAGATGAACCTACTTCTCCCTCTCAAATCTAACGAGCAATCTAAAGTTCAATGCCTTACAAACAGTTTCTAGAGTGAACTAAGTGGGAATCATAAGAAAGCATAACTCCAAACAATGATTATACAAAATATGGGGAAAGATAAGCAAGCCACATTTTAAAACCACTCCTTGAAGTTTTTAAGATATGTCTTGCAAATCAACAAATAATTCCCTGTGTTTTTTGAGGGGGCAGGGGTTACTTACTCATTTTTATGTGATTTTCATGAACTTGCTCAGCAATGAGATGTTGATGTTGAGAGAAAATGATCTAAGGCAGTATACTGAAACTAGGCCTGAAACTAGCATCTCACTACTAAATAACTGAGCTCACGTTACATATTGCTGATTTCATTTAAGCTCAATTTTTTTCAACTTAAATGACTGTGCTAACAATGGACTAAATCAAGGCATTCATTCAAAATTGTAATAGTCTGAAAAGCACTTAAATTCATAAAAGCAACTTAGTACAATTTAAAAGCTCAAAATAAGTTATACTTAACAAATTTTAATATTAAAAATACGCAGATTTTTCCTATAAAATCCCTAATGAACACTGATTGCAGACAAAAAGAGTATTTATCTTAACTCAGAAACTAAAGGATGAACTTAGTATCAATATTTATAAACTGATTAACATTCAAAATTATCCTATCCTGGTACCATATGAAAATCTGATTGAAGCCTTAAAGTTTAGAGACCTAAATTCTGCCTCAGGTATTTTTGGCCTAATAATGACAAAAAGGTTAAAGTGATACAGAAACAACACCAATAATAAAACCAGTGACTCATTATGTGACTAAGACTTAAAATATATGCCAAATGGCAAAACAGCAAAATATGTAAAGTAGTTATTTTTACTTACAAGTTAGTAACCGGCTCTCCTTTCAATGGAGGTAGGAGGTTTCCTGAGCCAATTAAACAATTGTGCACTATAGTCAGACTCTGTAGAACATCATCTCTGGAAAAGATAAAAGGTATTTTCATATTTTAGAAGACTCTAAATCCCTGTTAACAAAAGGCCTTGGAGAGTCTAGGATGAAGTACAAGAACCTTAAGTGGGGATATACAAAATTAAGGCCAAGAAATGGCAAATGTCTTCAGTTTACCCACTTAATAATACAAGGTAATAAACAGGTATTTATACTGGTAATACGGTACAGACCTACTTACGATTAAACAGGCTCTAAATAATCAGAAATAACAGCAACTGACTGCTCTTTGTGAATCAATTCTGAATGTAATCACCTATGTACCCAAAGATTGCTACCACTGATAAAAAGGGAAAACAGTATTACAGAAGTTCCTCCAGCATACTCCATCTTTTAAAAATGGACTAGCCAAACACTTACTCCAAAAAGCAGTTCAGACATCATCAGTCGTACTTCTTTCCTCCTCCAAACCATTCCTACTGAATTTGCTTATTAAAATTTCCTGGTATTTCACACATACTAATTTTCTTACTATTATTTTAGGAACTTCCAAAGATTCAAACTGTAGAAGTCTAATGATCTTATTAAATAACTATTTTTTGCTAAAGCCTCTTGGGAAAGAAAAAAAAAACTCATAGAAATATTTCACTAAGTAACATTAACATCAATAATATGAATTACAAAAATAAATTAAAACCCCCCCAAAATCTAACCTGAATCTAGAAAAACAGGCATTTCCATACACTTCCCAAAAGATGCACAAGTGAAACTGCTAAGCAAAAGTCACAAAAAGCAAACTAGAAAAAAAATGAGTTTTTCTATTTAAAAGGTTTAAGTATTATGACAAAATTTGTTATACACTATATTAAATGGTTTTTTAATTATATGTATGGCAGATATAAACACACACTGAAAATGAATACATCAGATATTCAGAGAATCAGATACAGAATCTGAGAATCAGAGAATTCAGATCATCAGATACAACAGAGAAAGGGAAAGACACAAAAAGATTCTTCTCAATCTGCAACCACACAACACTAAGTGTTTATGAAAGAAAACAAACCTAGACATTTCAAGTTCTCCATCACCACAGTGCTGAAGTTTGATGAGCTCAGGCTGAAGAAAAGAGTCCAACAGATAGAAGGCAAAAGCCACTTCTTCTGAAGAAGGAACATGCCACTGGATGTCCAGGTTCCATAGGTCCCCTGGCTTACCCCAGTCCTAGAAAAGAGTAACATTTGTTCAGCAAGCTGAGAAATTGGGAAAAAAAAAAAAAAAGATGTACATGTAGCTTAAAAGGTCTTCCAGGAAGGGGCGCCTGGGTGGCTCAGGTGGTTGTGCTCTCAGGGTTGTGAGATCCAGTCCCATATCCAGCTCACGCTGGGCATAGAGCCAGCTTAAGATTCTCTCTCTGCCCCTCTCCACCCTTTCTCCCTTTCTCTCTAAAAAACAGGCATAAAAACTCATTACCCCTTCATTCTCACTCCAGAAAAAGGTCTCCCTGAAGAGCCACTTAAATATGAGTTTACTGTAAGAGTAACAATAAGCTTATAAAGCTACTGAGTTCTCCAATAAAATCATATGGAATATACAAGCTACATATAGCATACCAACCCACTTCATAGTCAAACAGAAAAGAAAAAAACTAGGCTGTTCTGCGCTATGTTACACTTCCCAAGTTTAAAACATTCCAATAATTTTAATAATCTACTTTAAAAATAAAGAAGTAACACCTTCATACACAACACACACACAAAAAAACCCCACTCTGGATCCTTAGAAAAATAACCCAATATGTACTTGAATTCTTAATTACTGAAAATGCTTGCCTTGATAGGAAAGTATTCGGAAGGAGGCTTGTCAAAGCCACCCGGCACACTGCAGTACTCTGTCGGGTAGATAAGTGTAGTAGAACGGAGGAGGTGATGCAAAAGGTTACAAGACAGAGTGTAACCCTGCTTACAGGTTAGATGGAGGGTTCTTTGGAGAATCTTTACTAGCTGCTCCCTATAAAGAAGCAACTTCTTCCCATCCACTCGAGTAATCTGAAAGAGGAAAAAAACAGTTGAGGATATTTTGGTGATAAGATTAAGAATCAATAATTACTGCAACGAACAATGTTTAGCTACTAAAGTAGCCTAAAATAATAACAGTGTTTCTTAAAATGACTTTAATTCATTTTAGAATTGTCATTTTAAGTATATTCTTACAATTCTTTCTTAAGATCAAAACAAATTCTCTGAATTCAGGCCCTTATATGCCACAAGTACCATCCTTTTCAAAGAATCTATCTCCTCAAAGAGACAAAACTTAATTGGAGCTCTCTGTTTGTTGGTGAACCAACCCATAAAGGAAAATGTTTAACTGATAGCCAAATTTATGGAGAAAGAGAGAGAAAATGGAGAGAAAAAAAAGGAATTGCCAAATCTGATAAAATTTTCAATTAATGAGTTACTAGTATCAGAATTAATCAGTAAAAATTACAGCGCTGCACATGAAGTCATCAACAATTATCACACTCCCTTGATAACAAGAAAATGCCATTATCTGACTTTTTGTAGCTATATAAAGAAAATCTAAAACTAAGGAGTTTTCAGTATCAGGGAGCCTGGTTGGCTCAGTCAGTAGAGCATGCGACTCTTAATTCTGGGGTCATGAGTTCAAGCCCCACATTGGGTGTAGAGATCACTTAAATAAATAAATAAATCTTTGGGGTACGTGGGTGGCTCAGTTGGTTAAACATCCAAACTCCTGATCTCAGCTCAGGTCTTGATCTCAGCGCTATGAGTTCAAGCCCTGTGCACTGGGCTCCACGCTGGGCATGAAGCCTACTTAAAAAAAACAAAAAACAAACAAACTGGGGCACCTGGGTCGCTCAGTCAATTAAGCGTCTACCTTCAACTCAGGTCATGATCCCAGAGTCTTGGGAGTGACCGTGTTGGGCTCCCTGCTTCTCCCTCTCCGTCTGCCTCTGCCCCTCCCTCTGCCTGTACTCTCTTATGCTCTCTCTCTCTCAAATAATAAACAAAATCTTAAAAAAAAACAAAAACAAAAAAACCCCAGACTTTTCATATTTTTTAAAGTCAATTAAAAAAAATAAATTCTAAAACCAAGTCATCATTTTCACAGTAATATTTCTTTATTACAAAGATTTACAATACCTCAGACAAAAGCTGAAGATTCCACAGCAATTCCTTATCTAGCTCTTCTTCATTTAATACATCATCATCTAAAAATGGCAAAACAGTATCAGGGAAAAAGAACTATGCATCCAACTAAATGCATCTTTTTTTTTATTAACATAAAATGTATGTTTCAGGGGTACAGGTCTGTGATTCATCAGTCTTAAACAATTCACAGTGCTCACCATAGCACATACCCTCCCCAATGTCCATCATCCAGCCCCCCATCCCTCTACCCCTCTCCCCTCCAGCAACCCTCAGTTTGTTTCCTGAGATTAAGAGTCTCTTATGGTTTGTCTCCCTTTCTGGTTTCGTCTTGTTTCATTTTTCCCTCTCTTCCCCTATGATCCTCTGCCTTGTTTCTCAAATTCCACATTATCAGTGAGCTCATATGATACATGTCTTTCTCTGACTGACTTATCTCCCTTAGCATAATACCCTCTAGTTCCATCCACGTCGTTGCAAATGGCAAGATTTCATTTTTTTTTTTTGATGGCTAAATGCATCATTTTTTAATATTTGTCTTCAGTATCTCTAACTGCTGAGAAAAGTCTCATTCCTTTTTCATGAAGCTGAACTTGCTCCAGAGGAGGTGAAAATTCAATTTTCAAGAAAATAAACACATCAAATCAGGGCGCCTGCTCCTCCACATCTCACAAATTGATATGTTTTTATGGCAACCTCTACATGGTTCTTACATGTATGAAAATACTAATTTAATAAAGTAAAATTTCTAAGCTGTCACCTGGATGACACCTTAATTCGAGCAATCCCTGCCCCAAACTACAAAATTAAAATATTGCACAGCTTGTAGAATCTTTTTTCACCAACAGAGTTCTAGAAACAACAAAAAAATTTTATTACCTAAAATTAAAAATATAGAATAATAACCTTATGACTTACTCATTGTAAGCTGAGTTATAACATTGCAGCAGTGGGGAACAAATAACTTCAAAGACTCCTCTGGGCAGCACTGAAACATATTTGTATACATAAATTTTTTGGAAGGCCATGAATATTCAACAGTCACAAAGTATACCCTGACACTATTTTCAGAGGCAAATAAGGGTTGTAAACTGCTACTGAAAGAATGATGTATTTTAAGTATAAAAAGCATGTATAAAAGAATTAACCATATAAACCTGTTGGTTACTGACTCATTAATTCATCAGTCCAAAAACCCCAAACTCACCTTTACAGCAGCTCGGCACATGTCTGCCACCATGCGGCCTGCTACTCTTGTTTCAAATATATGCGAAATAGAAAAATTAAAAACCTTCTGAAGGGCTACCTGTTAAGATATGGAAGAAGTGAAAAGGTCTTATCAGCATTTTTAAGAAACTTAAACATCTTATGAAACATGAAAGAAAATGAGAGTCGGACTAAAACTAAAAATAACCAAGTAGGAAATTTTTAACCATCTGAATTTTACAAAGATTTGCTTATTGATGTTACATCAAGATCTATGAACAATCTTTTGCACAAGACCCTAATGTGCATTTTACGCACAAGATTTTATTTGCTACAGAAAAATTAAATACAAAACTACAGCTGCTGGAAGTAAATGCAAATTATCTTGTTGCCTAATCCAATGTAACAAAGGTAAGGTTTTGGATTATCTAACATTTAGACTTTGTTATTTTGACAACTACAAACTAGAAACATATATCTCTATTCTAAAAGACCTGGAGCAGTCTAATTTTACAATCATGTCACAGATTTTCAACTTAATTGCTAAATGAAAGAAAGACCTCTAGATGTTTATAATTTTCAGGATTGTTAATCCACAACTCCTTTCAAAAGATTTTGGCTCAATGAGATTATTTATGTTCATTTCTTTATACTAACATAATCTCAGAAAATATTTCATGCAGCTGTAAAGCAGTTTAGCTTTTAATCAGGATAAACATATTGAACAGTCATAATCTCAGATGAAGGGAGAAGAAACAAAAATGGAAGTAAAGTCTGGTCTTAAAGACCACACTGTACATAACAGGGGTCAACCAATACTGAGTAAGGGAATGTTTACAGAATGTCTTATGAGGACACACCAATTCCCATTCATTATAGCTTGCCAGATTTTTATATTTAGGATTTAATTTCTATTATGTGATGGCATAAACAAATTCCAAAACTTTTCTCCCAAACAGTATTTAATTGATTAAAACAACACAGTCGATTCTTGTTGTATGTAGTATATTCTCTAAAGCTGCTGCGAGCACTGAATTAGCAAATACCGAATCACTCTTCCTCAGGGCAATACAGGATTAAGTTAATACAAGTCTCTGCTTACGTTTTCATCAACTGATAAAATTTTATAATTTTGTTTTATGTGTATTTAATATATATTGTTGTTTCATTAGCATTGAAGTCAGCCAACAGCACTGTAACTCATGCCTGAATAAAGCTTATCTAAAACATGTTATTTTCTGGGAGGCACATCACAATTCTCTTATGCTTACAACACTAGACAGTACTGCGGCACTACTCTTGTGGGCCATTTTAAACAGCAAAATCCCCAACAAAAAGCATACAATGTGGAAAACCGGGCACTAAATAGACTCAAAAGTGTGTTTACATCAGAGCTGAAACAAGAAGGCAGAGCATGTCACCTTATTCAACCTCAGCCAGGAACTCACATTTTTTGCTACATTTACACGTCTGCATGAGAGCACCATGAGTACTGATTTGGGGATTACAAATACATTTTAGTAAGCAGATGAATTTGCAAATATGAAATTTGCAAATATAATGAGAATCCACTGTTTATCTTTCTTGAAGTTTAGTATGAGAAAAAGGATAAATGGCATAATACCTAAAGTAACTTCAATTTTTATTTAAAAAAAAATTTTATTTATTTATTTGACAGAGACACAGCGAGAGAGGGAACACAGCAGGGCAAGTGGGAGAGGGAGAAGCAGGCTTCCCACCGAGCAGGGAGCCCGATGCGGGGCTCAATCCCAGGACCCTGGGATCATGACCTGAGCCGAAGGCAGACGCTTAACGACTGAGCCAGCCAGGCTCCCCGTAACTTCAATTTTTAAAACACACACAAAAAAACCTACAAGACTGGGATTTAATTTTTTGCAGCAATGCGACTCTTACCATAAATATTTCTTTGGAACATTGTGTGAGGATTGTACTAAATGTAGAAGACAGGCCTAATTCGACCAAACTCTCCAAGTGAGTCATTTTCTCAGTTTCCGTCTCTTCTCTTGTTTGCTCCAATGTGCTACTTTCTATAAGTCCAAAACATCTAAACAATCCAAAGAAAGTATAAGTTTAGCAACTAAAAACTAGTTTCATGTTTTCGATGATGATTACCTAAGTCTCCACTGTCATGCCTATTCAAATGAGAGCTATTCCATTTGGACATGGCTCACTATCAATTGTCTTTTTGTAACTTCAGGTGCTCAGTCCCGGGACACTGGCTATGTACAGGCTGCAACACAGAGAGACTGACGTTGCTGGGACAGGACAGTCATATCTGAATGTCTAATAAAGGGCGGGCCTGGGGTACATACTCACCTGTCCATAAATTGTAAGACGAAATCCTCAAATTCAGCTGTGGCTGAACAAAGTTCTCGTTCCACCTATAACATTTCAATGTGGAGAAAAATTAAAAATAGTCCTTTTTCTCGGAACTATTAAAACTCAATTACGGCCTATAAAATAGATTTAACACTATATTATTATAGTGAGTATGGTGAGAAATAGCACCATAACCGTGTGTCAATTTAGAATAACTCAACCTACTACTTTCCAGGAACCAAAGTAAGAAGTATTTAACATATTTTATAAGAGCCCCAAACAGAAGTCAAACAGCCATCTTTATCAACTACAGTTTTCAAGCTTCTGGTGTATGCATACAGGATTCTCTCCTACTACTTGAACATCCAAATGACAAAAGTCAAGTAGAAACATATTTACAATAAAGAAAATAGTTCTAAAAGAACCAGTCAGTAATGAAGAAAATGTCTGTTCATTAGATGTCAATCACCTCAACAAATTTATTCCTAAGCTCAAAAAACCAGAAAACCCAAAACCAAACCAAACCAACAAACAAAAAAAACCCCCACCATCTCCGCTTAACAAAAAATTAAAAGTGACAAAAAATTGAAATATACCTCTTGGTATCAGTTGTTTACAAAAATAGCCTATTTTTGACCTATGTCGTTTGGTGGGTGCTCTGCCAGACTATCTTACCAATGACCTGGTCCTCCATTTATATCATTTTAGTCACAAAATAGTAATTTTAAACTACTAGTATTTAAACTATCAAATATTACTATGCATTTACAATAAGAGTTATAACTCAGTTAACCAATCCTTTTACAAGCAGAAAGCATTCTTACTTCTGTGAGGTCATTTCTTTCTTGTAGTACAGATGAACAATCTACTAAAGGCACCAGAGTGGAAAATGTTGCTATGAACTGGAATGTGATCTGTGGGAAGATCCAAAAAATTTAACATTAATTTTGTAACTATAGTTCAAAAATACAAGTATACCATATGCTACAATAAAGTACCCAAATAAATTATTTTGAGGGAAATCCCACAATAATTGTGGAAAGTTTTCACTTAGAATTGAACATTTTAAGGTTCCTCACAATTAAGCAGCTGTTATGTTAGTAATGAAGTTATACTAAATTTATTTTCATAGTTATTAGGTTTAAGCACAATGTTCTCTAATCTTCTGTCAATGAAAAGTTACTTTGCACCCCCGCTAAAGATGCAACATTAACCAAGGATAAACAGAATATGCTGAAGCAAAAAGCGAGATCGGGCAAGAGGGAAGATGAGCAATGCTTTAAGTCAGGAGATGTGTGTATAAAATGGGACCTGGCATTTTGCACCCAGCAGCTTTTATCATGCCCCCTGTCACCAGTGTAGACAGAAGAAGTACAAATGATCATATGCTAAGATTTTTAATGTCTTTGCTCAAGGAAAATAGTAAATATATAATGAGCTTCAAAATATCTTATGATCATTAAATGTATCCAGGTTATGGCAAATTACTTACAATGGATGACATATAGATCAACTAACCATCCAAAGATCTAAACTTGGGCATCTAGGATATAACTCTTTACCATTAACAAAGTTTACATTGAACTATGTTCTAAAGAGTATTTGAACAAAACTTAAAAGGATGTCTATTCACACAATTAGAACTCAGACACAAAACAGAATAATAAATATGCTTACCATGCATTTACTAAAGTCATTTGGATCCACCCCAGGCAATGCTCTCATCAACAGAGGTAGCATGTGTGTTGGACCTTCAGGAAACCATTTGCCACCTGATACCAAACTTCGGGCTACTCCAATTACACAACTTAAAGTAGCTGTGAGCTGGTGAGGTTCTGTTAAAGTCTCTAGTGCAGGATACGTTCTACAGTTTGAAAACAGGAAAAAATAAACAAAAAAAACCAGTTCCATCACAGATAAACATGCACAATACATTAAATCTACCAAATTCATAAATTGCCTGTTGGCCTTAAGGCTGCTAGCTAGCAGAATATTTTGAGTGAATATCTGCTTTCAAAGTTAACAGAATCACACACACAAAGAAAAGGCACGTTTCCCCTACCCCCTCACCGCCTTTCTCCTTGCAAATTCCACAGTGTAAAAGAACATAAACTGGTAGATTTTGCATTATTTCAGCCATCTGAATCCACTTCCACATTCCAATATGACTAACTCTAACCTAATGGTCAGCGATTATTAGAATTCAGGAATAGCAAGTGACAACTATCTTATTTTTTTTTTTTTTAAAGATTTTATTTATTTATTTGACAGAGAGAGACACAGCGAGAGAGGGAACACAAGCAGGGGGAGTGGGAGAGGGAGAAGCAGGCTTCCCGCAGAGCAGGAAGCCCGATGTAGGGCTTGATCCCAGGACCCTGGGACCATGACCCGAGCTGAAGGCAGACGCTTAATGACTGAGCCACCCAGGCGCCCCCTATTCTTCCCTCTTATCGAAAAAACAATCTTTACTAAAACGCTGAAATTTCTCCTACTTTACACTTTTTAAAAAACTGGTATTTTAAAATTGGACATCAGCTCTAGAAACATATGAGAAGATTCCTGAAACTATGAATAAACTAGGGAGAATAATACAAATACAATCTTTGATCAGCAAGTAAAAGACAAGCCAAGAACATTCACACAGGGGTGCCTGGGTGGTTCAGTCATTGGGCGCCTGCCTTTGGCTCAGGTCATGATCCCAGGGTCCTGGGATCGAGCCCCGCATCGGGCTCTCTGCTCGGTGGGAAGCCTGCTTCTCCCTCTCCCACACCCCCTGCTTGTGTTCCCTCTCTCTCTGTCTGTCAAAATAAATAAATAAAGTCTTTAAAAAAAAAAAAAGAGCATTCACACAGCAATTTCATTTTTAAGAGTCTATCCTGTAGGGGGACAAAAATCTAAAATGCAGTCATTTTAAATTTCTCTTATGCAGAAAAAATAAGGGAAATTTCATTTTAAGTAGGAAAAAAGCATTTATAATCAGAATAAAAAAACAACCAAGCCTATGCTTTAAAAGGTGAAGAAAGCAAACCAGCTCTTTAACAGAGGCTGTCCTTAGAAGATACAAAACTCAGGACCTAGAATTTATTATCTACATCTTTACTTTCTCAAGGACTTCTGCTTTTTTTTTTTAAGAGGAGAGAGAGAGCACATACGCACAGGGAAGGGGTAGAAGGGGAGGCAAGGAGGGGGCGGGAGGAGGGAAAGACAGAGAGAGAGAGTGAGAATCTTAAGCAGGCTCCCCACCAAGCATGAAGCCCAAGGCAGGGCTTGATCTCACGACCCTGAGATCATGACCTGAGTCAGACTCTTAACTAAGTCACCCTGGTGCCCCAAAGGACTTTTGCTTTTATAGAAGAAAAAAACCTTCAAAATATTTCTCTTGGCTAAGCATGTATCACTCAATATGCTATTAAATTTGTCCAGAAATTGAAAACTCAAGAAAAATATGATGGATAATTTTACTTGTATTTATTTATTTAAATTCAATTAATTAACATATGTATTATTAGTTTCAGAGATAAGAGTTCACTGATTCATCATTTACTTGTATTTGTAAGCTTTGTTCTTTCTACTAAAAATGTATCTCACTATTCATAATTCATCAGCTAGAAAACATTAAAATAAGGCAAAACAAAGGGAAAGCCAAGAAATACCAAAACACTCCAATCTTCAAAATTTTAACTATGCAAGAAGCTGAAGTCCCTCCCTAGAGGCAAGTCTCTCCTCAACAGGAAACATCAAGGGACCTGCCACTGAACTGTTAGCTTCTGCTACCACAAGGAGGCCAAAGAGCAAAGAACACTGGAGGTTCCAGTAGAAAATGCCTAACTTCCCCATTTCATTTCCTAATGAAGTTATCTGTGCTGGAAGTTTCCGTGCCCACAAAGTGCACACAGAAATGGATAGGTGTGGAAAATGAGGTACAACTTAACTTGAATACTTATGGCAATGAGGACAGGACAAGATATTGTAAGCAACTCAAATTTATAAATAATGTAGCCCCATTTTGGTCAAGACCTTTAACAGGATATCCATCTCCAAGCAAATGTGCCCAATTATCCTATTTCAATTTTAAGTCAGAAAACAGGCAGTCACTTGCATTCTGTCACTAGGATCTTGGACAAATCTGTTTTATGGAACTCAAACTGTTAGACCCTTCTGGGCCCTAAAAACTAACATTTTTCTTCTATTTTTCAGTATGACATTGAGAGAAATCATAAAGCTCAACTTCAGGCAGCAGAGGAATTAACAGAAAGCTTAAGTAATATTATTATATAAGCACAGAAGGCCTATATTGTGACAGTAACTAGGGAAAGGGAAAACTATTTTTGTTACTATTTCAACATATGAAACAAAATGAATGCAATAAAATCTATACTGTGGAAATAATACACATAAGATTATGCATATATTAAAATAATAAAGACAGTCAAATTTTCTTCTGTATCACTGATTTTAAGAAATAGAAGAAATCCAAAATCACTTCTCAGTATTTAGTGACACACTTTGATGTAAAAGCAGCTTAATTAATTAGTTTATTAATTAATTTTTGTAAGATCTTATTTTTAAGTAATCTCTACACCCCACATGGGGCTCAAACTCACAACCCCGAGATTAAGAGTCACATGCTCCACCAACTGAGCCCACCAGGCACCCCTTAATTTATGAGCAAAAATGTGCCAATAATCCAAAAATATTTTATCCATCTCGTGTCAATTTTCTTTTCTCTCCAGTAAACCTTTATCAAGTTACCAATCGTTAGGTTAAAATGCCTTGCTTCTCCTACAGGAACAGGAACAAGCATGGAGAAAGCAAAACAGAAGCCACAAAAGAAAACCAAGCACAACAGAAGAGTAGAGGGAAGAGATAATCAGAACAGCTGTAGCCACAGCTGAGGCTTTAACCAAACATGTAAAGCTCCACTTACCTTTCAAGTACAGGGGGTATTACTAACTCAGGTCTCATGAGTGCAAGATTCTGCAGAGCCTGGGCTGCTTCTAAACTACCAGTTTTGCTAAACATAGCCAAGAGGACAGGTTGAATAATGCATCGTACAAAGTCTGTAACATCTTGATCAGTAAGCTTATGGCTATCAGGCACAGGAGTTAACCAAGAAGGCTTCTTGTATCTTTCACGATGCAATCTTCTAACAACACTATTTGGCAACCGCTGAAGTAGTTTCATTAATTTGTTCTGGGGACACAGAAGCAAAAAGTCCAAGGTAGGTTCTATTTCCTACACAGATATTTATGGTCCCTTTCTACCCTCCAAATAAAGATTCTTAAAATAACAGCTCTTACAATCTATTACAAAGACCTGCATGGCATAACTAGATAGAATAAAATGCCATTATCAATTAAATTACTGATAATGTGTTTCAAATGTCAGTTTTAATTTCTAGCACCAGATGAATCTTCCATTACATGAAAAACCATTTTAGCTAGGCAATGTGGAAACCGCCCCCCCCAAAAAAAATCCCAAGGAATAAAAACCACAACTGACAATCTTTTCTGTTGCCAGAATGTGACATTTTGTCACCAGTTATTGGACGAACAATATTATCTTCATTTATTTTTATGTTCTATGAACACAGAAGCTTAATTTGAACTTAATCACCTACATATAGCCAAATTTATATGAAGAACAGAAAATGTATTATAGGTTTTATACAATAGGCAATATGTAACCATTTTTTAAAGATATGTGTGACCATATCTTTAAAAATTTCCAAACCCTAAAATGAAAAATGAATATACTCACCAGCCAGCGCCCATTATTTGAGGGATGGTAAAAAGATGTGATGCTGTTAAACAAACCAGCCAAATGTTTTTGCACTAGTTTACTTGGTCCACCCTATACAAATAAAAAAACAAAAATATCAGTACCCACTGTACACTGGAAAATTGAAGGAATCAATAGGCCCAAGCCTACATACACCTCTCTAACGTGGTACACATCCATTTTGCTGACAAAAACCAATTCTACCCCTACATAAGAGTCAAAAACAAATTCCCCAGTGAACTTCCTACAATCTTCCATTTAAAACACTCTACAAAAAATAAGGGAAACTTACTGAAACCAAATTAGATAACTGAAAAGAGATCTTTCAATTTAGGGTATCAGCATATTTTACTCTTTTGCAGTGAAATAATTTTTGTCACTAAGACTGTTTTAAAATAACCAAGAGTGGTAACATCAGGCATAAAAAGCATTCCTAAAAGGATTCAAGAAGTGAATTTCTTATTGCAGGAAATGAAGAAGTGAGATGTACATAAATACATTCAAATATTTTATTTTTACTCCCAAATGTTTCAAATGATTAAACCTGCTATATTTGACCACATTTTGACTCAAAAGAAAAATATTTTTTTCTTAATCTATTACCAAAACAAATACACCAAACAACAATACAACGTGGGGGGGAAAATGAGGAAAAAATTTAGCATTCATCTTATCAACAGCCCTGAAGATAAAGAACTACAATTTGGTTTTAAAACCTTCCATCTCTCAGGATGATCTTCTAAGAAAAAGCAGAGACATAAGGTAGACTGTTGAGTTACATAAGAACATGTCTTCGCACTGAAATGAAATCCATGTACATGTTCCCCACTGAGACTAGGTCAACTACTAAAGAGATCATAATTCCATAGCAAAAAACCAACAAAAATGTCAATATTTTAACATAGTAATTAGCATTTTTATTTATTATATTCATTATTCACATTTAACACAAAATAAATCTGTCAATGGGAAAAACTGTGTGAGAAAGAACAGCAACATTAACTAAAATAAGCTGATATTAATCACAATGTAATTCTGTGGCTTCTAAAAAATGAATTCCAACTCATTGCTTATGTAAGACAGTAAACATCCAAATGTTTTTGCTCTTATGGAGTATTAGAAAGAAAATGTGATTCTCCCTGCTTAATAACGAAATAGCAAAAACGGGGAGAATGAATTATTCTTTAAAATCTAAAAATAAAACTTAAGAGTTAAACTTCGCACAACCATCCTGCATTTTCCACAGAAACAACCAGCCAAACAACATAACCTGGGAGAAAATATCAAACAGAATAATAATTTAAAAAAGAGACAGCAGTAGAAGCAATATAAATGACAATCCAGAAAATTATAGTATAAAATTATTCTTATATTCCTATTTGCAAGTTGACAATGAAATCCAAGCATGTGGATATATTTTTACTTTCCTTCAGGGATGTCAGTTAAGTAATCCTCCATATTTCTCCCTTCATTAAGATTACTTCATTTGTTTAGTAAGCTTTGTGTTCAGTGTAATTTTCGACACTGAATGCATTCGTACCGGGCATATGCAAAACCCTGAGTTCTAATTCCACATTTATCATTATCAATTTGACCTTTCATTTGTGAGTCTGGTTCTTGATCTATTAAGACTGTTAGACATTCTGAATCTCTCAAAACTCTAAACTTTGATTCCATTATTAAGAACTATTGGCTAGAGAAATGGTTGTTTTTCTACATTCTGGGTCTGATAAACATTAGCTTACTACATCAGAAAATATCCAAGAATCAAATGACCAACTAAGATACTAATATAGCCTAATGTGATTATACAGAATTTTTGTATGGTTAACACAAAATTTAGATGAACTAATGTGTTACAAACCATCATAGCGGTGATCCATATCACAGCATGTCCTATATCATAAGCATTTGTTAAAAATCTTGGGACTAACACTTGACTGCTTCCCACTGGGAGGTTCAAGCTTCTCAGAATTCTTGTAAATATCTTTAAAAAGAAAAAAAGAATTAAGAATAAATATTTTTAAGTATCAAGTAACTTTTTAAATAACTGAAGTGTTATATATATTATTGTTATTGAATATATTCTCACTGGATCACGTTTTAAGCAAAATTACATACTATTTGGTAGCTTTATACACTGCTTTACTCCATAAAAATTACATAGAAATAGATTCTTTTTAAAAATTTTTATTTTTATTTATATTTCATTTATTTATTTTATTTTATTAAGATTTCATTTATTTGACAGAGAGAGACACAGTGAGAGAGGGAACACAAGCAGGGGGAGTGGGAGAGGGAGAAGCAGGCTCCCCGCTGAGCAGGGAGCCCGATGCGGGACTCGATCCCAAGACCCTGGGATCATGACCTGAGCCGAAGGCAGACGCCCAACCGTCTGAGCCACCCAGGCGCCCTTATTTCATTTTTTAAAAGTTTATTTATTTAAGTAATATCTACACCCAACATGGGGCTCAAAATCACGACCCTGGTATCGAGAGCTCCATGCTCTAATGACTGAGCCAGCCAGGCTCAGCCCCTATTTACTTTCTTTCAAATGACAGTGAGGTCACAAAGGGGTGGATAAGAAGGAGCTGTATCCACATACTCTGTACCCACGTACCCATAAACAAATGAGATAGTTTAAACATAAAAAGGCAAAATGTAGATAATACAGTTAAACATGAAATATTTTGACTCCTATCTCTCTAAATGCATATGAAATTATTTTTCCTACGCTCTCATTCCATGCTAAGAATATACAAAATGCAAATACCTATCTTCTAGTGGATTACTTTCCCTTTCAAAATTCTATTGATTTTTCCCCCAGGAATTTGCATTTTCATCTCTCATTTAATAATTGCATTTTAGGGGCGCCTGAGTGGCTCAGATGGTTAAGTGTCTGCCTTCAGCTCAGGGCATGATCTCAGGGTCCTGGGATCGGGCCCCATTATTGGGCTCCTGGCTCGGCAAGGAGTCTGCTTCTTCCTCTCCCTCTGCCTCTCTCCCCTGCTCATATTCCCTCCCTCTCTCTCTCTCTCTGTCAAATGAATAAATAAATAAATAATTTTTTTAATTGCATTTTATTTTTTAAAATTTCTCTTTAAAAGATTTTACTTATTTATTAGAGAGGGAGAGAGAGTGAGAGAGCAAAAGCGCACAGGCAGGGGGAGCAGCAGGCAGAGGGAGATGGAGAAGCAGGCTCCCCCCTGAGCAGGGAGCCCACCATAGGGATTCAATCCCAGGACCCTGGGATCATGACCTGAGTCGAAGGCAGATGCTAAACTGATTGAGCCACGCAGGCGCCCCTAATAATTTATTTTTTATTTATTTTAAAAGATTTTATTTATCTATTTGACACAGAGACAAAGAGAGAAAGAGAGGGAATATGAGCAGGGGAGAGAGGGAGAGAACACAAGTAGGCAAAGGAGCAGCAGAGGGAGAGGGAGAAGCAGGCTCTCTGCCGAGCAGGGAGCCCGATGCGGGGCTTGATCCCAGGACCCTGGGATTATGACCTGAACCGAAGGCAGCCACTTAACCGACTGAGCCACCCAGGCACCCCTAAACATTTTAATATAATTAAATTTATATTTAAAATCTGTCATTAGTAACAGGGACTCCAACAGTGGGAGAAAATCACTTTTCCTCCATTTCTACCAGACGGTGTAAGCAAAGGTAAACAGAGTATGTCTGCTGCTGTTCCCCAGCCCTACTCTACTGTCAGCGTGTGCATCAGAATCACCTGGATGCCCCATGCCACCCCTCCTGAGCCCACTTCAGGTGAAACAATATGGAAGATGCAATGTTAAGATCACTGAACCTAGAGACACTCTAGCTTTATTTACTCTAGGAAAATGCAATCTAAAAAGTAGAAAACACTCTAGAATAGCAATCAAATACAATACCCAAAATTTGCTGGAAGGTATGAATGTAAGATACCCTGAATAATACACTTAGTACTTTCTAAATTACTCACTCTGAAACTTCTATTTCATGTCCTACATAGGCAAGACAAAAATCACACATTTATGATTACTTTGGTATGATCCAATTAGTTTTTGAAAATAAATGATCTATCCTGGTAAATTGTATGTTTTTACTAGTGATCAAGAAATATTTTAGGAATTAGTATACAAAACACACTTCTTTTTTTTAAAGATTTTATTTATTTATCTGACAGAGAGAGAGACAGCGAGAGCAGGAACACAAGCAGGGAGAGTGGGAGAGGGAGAAGCAGGCTTCCCGCCAAGCAGGGAGCCCGATGCGGGACTCGATCCCAGGACCCTGGGATCATGACCCGAGCCGAAGGCAGACGCTGAACGACTGAGCCACCCAGGCGCCCCAAAACACACTTCTTAAAGACATAAAAAGTGCTATCAGTGCTACTGTATGTTGTATGCTCAAAAGTTCTTAATTACCTTTGGTACATATGGATCCCAGTCTATGTACCCTATATTATCTGTAGCCAATCGAGCAAAGAGATTTACTAGTTGCTGAAAGTAAACAAAAAAAGAAAGACAGTTAAGTAAATACACTTGTTATTAAGTGTCACAGTCACACCCCCTATCCATTTCTGGTTCTCAGCTGTCATCATTAGCACAACTTAATACATAGTTTATGACTCATTTTTTTAAAATCTCCAAATTTAAGTTCTGATTCTTGTCACCCATTTAAAATCAAATGCAGTTGAAATGCTTATTAAAAGGGAAATGACAAAAGCATCATCCACAATGCAAAGAGAAGAAATTTTAATCTAATAAGCACATAGAAAACATCTACTATATGTCTAGCAACATGCTAGTGAAGGTCCAATAGGAAACAATAACAGTCTTACATTTCATGCATTTCATAATACATGCATTTGCTTCTAGATACTGATAAAACCAAAAGAAGTGTCTATTTCTGTTAGAAACAGCAAACAAAATTTTTTAAAAAAAATTACAACATTGCTAATAGCCAATTCTAAGGAACTGACGTTATTTATCAAATGATCTGATAGCAAAGAAGGAAAAAATAGGTATGATACTCACCCCCTCCCACTGTGGGAGATTTTGCACTGAAACCCAAAGGCCAATTAATTCATCAAACCAAAGTCTGAAGAAGAAAAATGTTGTTATGAATAGCAAGTGATTTATAGAAAGTGGTTCAAAGCCAGGTATCCTTTGTATTTTTTAATCTATTATTCTTACTGATAACTACACAACCTAGAAAAAATAATACTGAATGTTACAAACTTAATGGAACAAATGACTGCTTCTGTCTGAATATTCCCCTTGCAATATATTTATCCTAAAGAGTCATCTCATCAAACCTCTACTTCATTGTTAGGGGCGCCTGGGTGCCTCAGCTGGTTAAGCGCCCGATTCTTAGTTTCTGCTCAGGTCATGGTCCTGGCACTTTTTGTGTCTTTAAGAAGAAGTCCTACTTTCTTTTCTTTTCTTTTCTTTTTTTTTTAAGAGAGAGAGCATGGGGGAGGAGGGGCAGAGGGAAAGAGAATCTAATAAGCAGGCTCCATACCCAGGGTGGAACCCAACACAGGGCTCAATCTCACGACCCTAAGATCATGACCTGAGCAGAAATCAAGAGTCAAGACGCTTAACCAACTGAGCCACCCAGGTTCCCCTAAATATTTTTCATTTTAGGATTTGTTATATAGAGTCATCTAGAAAAAACAGTTCTTAAAAACAGTGCAAAGACGGGCGCCTGGGTGGCTCAGTTGGTTGAGCGACTGCCTTCGGCTCAGGTCATGATCCTGGAGTCCCGGG